ATATTTATTGTAAACAAAAAATTAATATTTTGTAAATATTTCTATAAATATTGCATACGAAAAAAATAAATATAATTATTTATAATTGTTAAATTAATAAAGAAATAAGAAAATCGAAATTTAAATTGGTAATGTACATTAGAAAAAAATTCTTTAAATGAAAGAAATATATTTTGTTACATATAATTTCTTAACTTAAAAAAATATTTGTTAAATTTTAGAAAATATATAATAAATATAAAGAAATATTTTTTAAATTTGTAAAATAAGCTGTAAAATGATGAATTTATAATTAAAAAAAGTAATTTCTTTGATTTAAAAAATCTATATATATATAAGAATAAACAAATGATTTCTTTACAAGGAGAAAATTAGTGTTTTTAAATGTAAAAACTGTTTAAATAAATATTTGCTTGTTTTAAAAATAAATAAAATACAAGTAAATCATTTTATAAATCTGAATAAGTTATTTTCTAATATTAAAAGTATTTTTTTTTATGTTTCGAATTAAAGTTTCTTTTATTATCAGAAAACAATTTATTTAAATTTACAAAATAATTTATTTTACATACTTTTAAAACATGTAAATATTTTTTAAGTATACTTTCTACATACTTTTTAAAACATATATTTTAAAAGAATCTATTCTTTTCTTTTAAATAAATCACATGCTTTCGTATATGGATATACCATATGTACACAATATAAAGCGTCTGTCAATCAAAGTGACAGTGATGCAGTAGGTAAGGTGAACGACACAAGAATCAGCCCAAGTAACAGACTCACGTCAAAATGACGTATAAAACTGGTCATAACTGGTCGAATGACGTCAAGTGACTAAATAACGACGTCTCTAAAACGTCTTTTTTGTGACATCTTAATGACGTTTCTGTATAACGTCTTAAAAACGTATTATTGACGTTTAGAGACGTCATAAAACGTCATTAAGTCGTCTAAAATGTCGTCATCGATCTGTGACATTAGACTATCATTTTGACGATATTCTCACGATATTTTTGATCATTCCTTGGTTATTTTTTATCCT